TTATTGAGTTACCTCCATGCATATAAAAACAAAGTACTATATATTACTTAATGATTAATATTTTATTTTCAGATATGAAATAATATTTCACGGTTGAAGAACAGTTTTCTTGGTAATCGCATCGCTTGTTTATTTACGAATTTCATTGCTTATACTTTAAATTTTACCACAAATTTTTCTTTTACGATTACGAAACTTGGCAGACAACAATATGAATTCCTTAATTCAATTGAACAGAATCAGGAAGTTTACAGACGAAGAAGAAATTCAACTTTCCACCTACAGAAACCGATGGAAGTCATTGGCCTTGTCCATGAAATTCCTTGGTTTGAAATTCGAGAAAAGATTCACCCCACACATTATTTTCATGTTGATAGGAGTAAAAATATTTACAATTTTCTTCATCTACGAAAATATCATAATATTAACAAGTTCTTCTTCGCTAGTTAATTGGATCATGCTTACATATTTTGTCTTCTTTCATTTCGAAAATATTTTTTCTCTGTATTACTTTCACATGAAGAAGAAGATAATTATGTCGAAATTAAATGATTTGTACGAAGTTTCTGGCATAAGCAGCGAGACATGCATCAAGTCCAGATCAATGCTGATTAAAATCTGTTTAACTTGGTTGAATAGTATCGTCTACAATGTCATGGCTTATCGCAATATCTCCAATAAAAGATTCCAATCAGTTGGTATTAATCAGATATTTCATATAAACTTTGATGATTACAGAGCAGACATTATTACATTTCTTTCATATTTCTACGGCAACTTTGTCATCCCTATTCAGTTCCATTTTTTGTTACTTTATTTCTGTTCCATATGCAAAGATTTCGAGTATTCTTTCGTATTAATTCATAAAAACATTGCCAAGAAACGCACTCCGAAACAGATTAACGAAGCATCTTTCAAGTATATGCAGATATCCACAATGGTAAATGAAATAGAAAGTATTTTCTCCCCCATTTTACTTCTGTGGTCGATTTCGATTGTTGGATGTGTCATATTTAGCATTGGTAGTTATTTGCAGAGAGTTAACTCTTCTATCGACATGACGGACGTAATAACTTTCTTCTGTTGTACAGGATTTCAATTCTTATTGTATTCTAACGTTTGTTTGTCTTCATCGAATATGAACAGAGAAGCAAAGAAGTTTGCAACTTCTATTTACAAAGCCTCGCTTTCTATTAACGATCAAGCCGTTCGGCAATTTGCCTTTCAGTTTTCTATGGAAATATTACAAGATTCGCCTAATTTTTCTGCGTGGAATATGTTTTGCATCGATAATAATCTCACAATGACAATTTTTAGTGCCGTTGTCACTTACAGTCTCGTCATGTATCAATTTTCAAGCAAGGAATAGTGAAAATGAACTCGCTTAATCGTTGACACGCATATCGACTCTCATCTTTCCTCCTTTCTGTTTGTGAGGTTGCTGAGGAAGTATTTAAACGAAGCAAAATTCTTCATCGCTATTAGAAGTTATTTCAAATAAATGTAATTTCGAACGTTAAAAATGACCCATGAAGTAAAATCTCAATGTAACCATTATAAAATATTTTAAGAAAACATTGCATTATTTTTATGATAAATATCATATTACAAAATTGAAATAAATGTTTTTTGGTTACTGTATTGTCTTATTTGTTTTTACTGCTTGTGCCTTGTAGGAAGTAATAAAGCCTTTTGTCAATTCAACAATTTACCGGCCATGATGTGGTTTTGTGTTCTTTTTTTCGTACAATCGTTTTTTTCCGTATGAAACGACCTTATATTCTAGGACCTCGGTTGAGATCATGTTTTCAGTTTTAAAATAAACACGCAAGGTATTTTTGAGTTGTACATACGAAGGTATTAATTTTTAGATAAGAACTTTTATTTTCGGGTAATTGTGATACTAGTAGGATGTGGTGGAATAGCGAAGTGACCACGCTATTTCTGAAAAATGCCACAAAAATCCTAAGACATGGCGACAATGTCGCCATTAATTAAAAAAATGCATGGGGTAATACGGGGACGTCTGTTTATTCGTGGTTAACGCGCTTTCATGTAGCCGTTATTTGGGAAAATAAATGTCAACCTCAAAAGAGATCGCGAGACGAGAGAACGTCCGAATCGCTCTCTTTGTTCGAAAGTAAGACAGTTTTCCACGTTTCGGCAATACTTCGTCTAATTTTACGCCCGCTACAAAGTTTCTACAAAATAAGTATTATTGCGAACTTTTACATTATCTTTTAGATGAAGATATTATGGTATTCGAAATAACCTTTAAGACCGAAATTGTTTAGTTTTGAAATAAAGTTGACCCGTGTTTGCAGTCANATATTATAAAATTCAAATAAATATTTATTGCTTAAACTTTTCAGTGTGGTTTATCTATTTACTACAACGCGACACGTTGACAATCTGCCGAGAAGGGAATGCCTCCCGGAAGGTCTTTTATGGAAAACTGGCCCCTATTTAAATGTTACTAATATGGAGAACATTCCAAAAATTTCGTTTGGATGGTCTCTTGGACAGGACGAAACCCATTATTGTCGTATTATTTTTTTTTTTTTACTGTTGTTTTTAGAGAATAATTTACCTCTTTTTAGTCCCACAACTGAGTGGCTTTTGATTCCAAAAATGTCTTTTCTTTCAATGCTCTTGCCTATTTTACATGTGTTATGTTGCGGTATGTGCAGGGTGTGTAGATCTGCTAAGTTGGACGCAGTATTCCACAAGATTCTAAAAATTTTTTACTATATAACACACGTAAATGTGACTATAAAATGCAAACATAACAAATATAAAAGACTTACTTTTGAGAAAATACAGTACAATTGTCGTTGTGGTACACGTACACTCGCAGAATACACTAAAACAATCCACTTTCGCAAAAGCAGCAAATGCAGGTTTTGGTTTCGCTTTCATTCCAGTATCCAATGAGATATGTAAAAGAAGGGGAACTTTTGTGTATTTCTTTCTTATGAATACATGGAATCAGAACTCAAATGGATACTACTACACAGCCAATCCTGTTAAACTGTTGTTCCTCATTTAATTCCACAAGTACTAAACGTACTAATGAAACTACAATACAAAATTACACAATACACAATTAAAACGTCATTATCCTAGTGATCGTAGATCATAATAGATAATAGATAATTAGATGACAGAATTGAGGGAAGTGACAAAATCGAGTTGCACGGGTCTTAACCAAACACGGTGCCAGAACTGAGACAGTGACGTTAATGAGAGTTACAAAAAAAATAATCATAATAAAGAACAAGTATATCTGATTTAAATATCTCTTAGCCTCATCGTTTCCGCAAAGATTTGCCAGGGCCTTTTTCTCCTATGGTCTGTCAACTCCACCCTTTTACTTTCAATTTGTCCTGAAGATCCCACAGATGGCCTAAGAACAGCCAGTTCTTCACACATGCTTGTTAACTCACTCGAATTTTACCTTCAATTAGAATTTATTTATAAGATATTTGAGATTGTTTCTTTACCGGTTGATTTTAAGCAAGAGCAATTCTTATCAAACTTTATTAAAGTTTTAATGCTTTATGAGAGGATTTTGAAACTCGTGTGTATGCCAGTTTGAATTCTTTTACATAACAGTATATTTTGTCACTGTATTTCAGAGATCTTTCTTTGACTGAAAAATTCTTATGAGATTTAACATTCGCGACATTTGCTAATTTTTTCGCTTTTTTTAATCGCTGTTGTCCTTTATCCATACCCATACAGAACTCAGCTAACTTGCCCATGAGCGCAGAACTTGAACTATACGGAAAGATCTCATGAAAAATTTCTGCAGTTGGTCATCGGATTCGGTCCCGAATGGCCAAAAAAATTGGGTCGCTGTCTTGCTCGCTTCTAACATCCGATCGAATGTAGAAATTTAATAGAAAAATCTAAAAACTTTTCTTAGAATTTAAAAATCTAATGTAGATCCTATTCATTTAAAATTTGTTATCAATGTTGTAAAGTTATAATTTCGTATTCGGTGGTAAAAATCGATTTTTTGGACATTATATTGTCTTGTCTATTTACTTTAACATTTATGTTTACTTTATGTTGATTAAATTTTCGAAGACAAGTTATTTACTTGGAAAGCTCGTTTATTATGAATCTTAACACATTAGTAAAGGTACAGCTCGTTACAAGTCTTCGAGATTAAAAGTTTCTTATAAACAATTCGGCAAGTTACAATGTATTATAAACGCGTTAGTGTATATATATATTTTATTAACGAATAAACTAACAATTTTGATATAAAACTAACTATAATTTAAATTATAATAATCCCAGTAAAGAATTTATGTTAATATGAATATTTCTGCACACTTTGCAAAGATCATTTGTTATTAATTAATATTTTAAGAAGGCGGGTAACGTATCAGTCTACCGCTTTGCGGATCCTGGATCGAATTTCGGCTAGCAATTCCAAGAGTATTTTTTTCCTCGCTACCCGATTAGCCCATTGTAGACCTGACAGAACACACGACGAATATAATTACAAACAACTTTTTGAGAAAGCCTGTAAAGCGAAAACAAAGTAATAATAAAAACAAATGAATAAATACTTTTAGCAAAATAAAATGTAAAGTTGCATTTACTCAAGAATTATTTTTAACCACTTCGAACATCGACCGAGTGTAGAAATTAATAAAAATTCTGAAAACTTCTCTTCGAATTTTCTAATGGATTTCTAATGTAAATCTTATCCATTTACAATTTTCTTTTCAATATTGAAAAGTTATAATTTAGTATTCGATCGTAAAAATCGATTTTTTTGAAAATTACGCTGTTTTGTGTATTTAGTTTACTGTCGTGTTTACCAACAAGTTAGAATATACTGTGACCATTGTTACAGCGCTCTTGGTGGCAACGACGGGTACTATCGACCGCCATTTTACTTTCAGTCAAAACATTGACGTCTGTACCACGTGTTAGATAGGATTGTCGCTTTAGATTCTATTTTTCTCATCTAAATCGAGATTGTTTTCTTTGCCCCAAGATTTGAGATTTAGGCGATTAGATAAATGATACAAATCTGGATTGTTTCATCTCGAATTTAAAATAATTAAATAAAATCTAGAAAACAGCTAAAGAAGACAAGTTTAAAGTGGTAAGTGTAGTACCTAACATATTTTTATAATCCAGTGGTTCTCAATCGGGGGGATATGTACCCCTAGGGGTACAAGGGTAAATCGAAGGGGTACATCTAACTTTCATTATAAAATGGCGAATGTTAATCAATTTGCTGTAAATTAACACAAGAAACAACAAAAGCTTGCTTTAAAATATCCCAGTGTAAACACCAATTTCCCTTTTAACAGTCTAAACAACCTGTTTGTCCATTTGATTTGCCTGTTTATTTGTGCCGTTAGTGCCGAGTGAACCTGTAGTCTAGTAAAATTACGGTTTAATCGAGCATTAATTTTAGAATAGAAAAAATAAATATTTTTTTCTATTCCATAATTATTGCTCGATAAGATTGGGGCTTTTCGTGTTTTTACTGGACTACTGGTATTAGGAATAAAGGGGCCTGGAGGATCGTACCCTCACTATGAAATACGTGTCACTGCATGCGCGCATTACTTGATATTTAGAAAATTTAGACTTTACATTTGTTACAAAAATTGAAAGATTCATGAATTGTTCTGCGCATTATAAATTCTCAACAATTACTTTCAATGTCAGTACACAATTTTAATCTCTATTTAACAACGTGGGAACCAAATTTTGAAAAAATTGCTGAAGATTTATCGCAACAAATATCCCATTAAATTTTGTTAGAAATTATTGTAGAGTACTGTAATTTAAATTTTCTTTATTGTTAATTATAATTATTTACTTTTAGGAAATGTAATTTATGCATGTATTGAAATGACTTCTGTGATTTTATATAATATACTTGTCAAATAATAATAAATAAATGTATGTATCTGATTAACTTTATTATTATTTACGTAAAATAAGTAATTCACTTTTAGTTATAGTTAGTTAGTTTTTTTATGGCGCTCAGTTATAAGGGCTTTATACATCTAACGCAGTAATTATAACATTTTCATACCAAAATATAGAGGGTACTTGAGAAACAATTAATGGGCTAATGGGGTACATCAAAAAAAAACGTTGAGAACCATTGTTATAATCGAAATACGAGCCAGGTCTTTATATGGCTGAGAGTAAAGCCTTTCATGGTTTGTTGTTGAAGAGGCACAGCTTGTCTGCCAGAAATTCCTACCGTGGTTACAAATGAATATTTAATTCAGTTTCTGAGTGAGTTCTCGATAGTATGTGATAAGTCCTAAAAAGTGCTAGTTATAGTGCTCAGATAATAAATAATAGTAGGACAAAAAGCATAATATTAATTCACGGCAATAAGTAGCTAATAATTGTGCGAAATGAAAAAGTGCTGAATTAGCCCATAAAAAATACACAAAGAAAACAAGCCAGTAAGTGAGAGAGACTGGTATATAGAAACTGCACCATTAGGACGTGTACAAATTGTGCATTATATCCATCAATCTCGATAATAAAAGTATATTAACACGAACTAACCTTTTGTTCTTTATGTTATAGATAACAACCTTAGACACTGAAGCAGTGAGCCTGAAGAGGTATTAGAGAATTACCAATTCGAAATGCATTGTTAAAAAGGCGAAATAAAGCGGTGGTTTAATCTTTGTCTCCGTTAATTACGGATCATTAAGAAAGACTTGATAAATATCACCAGTCTCACTATTAGAAGAAGCAACCTTTACTTACAACTTTTTATATTTTAAATTCTTATCGAATGACAAAAGGCTTAATTTCGAGGACAGTGACAAGTTTTAAAAAAATTGTAAACGTTAATAGGTAATAATATCTTCATTAAGTCCTACCTCTCTCGAGATATGACACATGCCAACTCTCTCTCCCCATTCCTTTAGTTAAGGATTAAAACTCTTCCTTTCTATTAAAAAATTGGAGCTTAGAGCATCGTGATAGAATATCTTAAAATGAGCTTTGCGTTCGTTGTAGTTTCCCAGACTACACCCAAGAGCAGTTCGCTGTGATTCGGTTATTTTTGTATAAAAAACATCACGGGCTTATTATAGCGGCATTGTTTTATTACATAGATTGGCCATTGTAAATTGAATAATTAAAAAAATAGTCGCACAATCGTCATCACAATAAAATAACTCGAAGCCGTGCTTCTCAGCTCGTCCTTCAACCAAAGAAGTTTTTCTTGGAGGAATTAAGAAGTTTCAGCATTAGCGAAAAGCAATGAGAATATTGCAAATAATGTTGTGACAATACTATTGCAATTGTCAAAATTGTTTAACTACATTGATTATAATTATTGAGTCATCTCCATGCATATCGAAAGAAACTTAAATTTTTAGATACAAAATAAGATTAATATATAATAGATGACGAATAAAGAAAAGTTATGTAGGTAATCACATCGCTTATTCACCATTGCTTCTTCTGAAATTTTTATTACAAATTTCTACTTTTAGATTACGAAACTTGGCAGACAACAATATGAATTCCTTAATTCATCTCGACAAAATCAAGAAGTTTACAGACGAAGAAGAAATTCAACTTTCCACCTACGGAAACCGATGGAAATCATTGGCCATGTCCATGAAATTCCTTGGTTTGAAGTTAGAAAAGAGATTCACCCCACATATTATTTTCATGTTAATAGCAGCAAAAATATTTGCAATCTATTTCATCTACAAAAATATTATATTATTGACAAATTATTCTTCTTCGTTAGTTAATTGGATGATATTTGCATATTATCTTTTCCGTCTTTCCATAAATGTGTTCCTTCTGTATCACTTTCATCTGAATAAGAAAAAAATTATGTCGAAATTAAATGATTTGTATGAAGTTTCTGGTATAAGCAGAGAGATTTCCAACAAGTCCAGATCAATGTTAATTAAGGTCTGTATCATTTGGTTCAGCAGTATCGTTACCAATATCGTGAATTACCTCATTATCACTAAGAAGAAATTTAAGTTTAATAGCACTAAACAGATTTTTCACACAAACTTCGATGATTATAGAGGGGATATCATTGAATTTCTACCACATTTCGTTTCCAGCGTTACTATTACTCTTCAGTTCTATTTTTTACTACTTCATTTCTCTTCCATATGCAAAGATTTTGAGTATTCTTTCGTGTTAGTTCGTAAAAAACTGGTTGATAATTGCAATCCGAAAGAAATCAAAGCAGCATCATTTAAATATATGCAAATATCGGGCATAATAAATGATATAGAAAATATTTACTCTCCCGTGTTATTTCTGTGGTCGACTTTGATCGTTGGAAATGTCATATTTAGCATTGGTCATCATTTACAGAACGTTATGTCTTTTACCTTGTCCGACATGATAATATTATTCTATTTTTATGGTGTTCAATTTTTATTGTTTTCTGATATTTGTTTCTCTTCGTCGAATATGAACAGAGAGGCCAAAACGTTCGCAATGTCTCTTTACAAGTCCTCACTTTCTATCGACGATCCAGCCATTCAGCAATTTGCCTTTCGATTTTCTGTAGAGATTTTGCAAGATTTGCCTAATTTTTCTGCTTGGAATATGTTTTACATCGATAATAATCTCACAATGACAATTTTTAGTGCCGTTGTCACTTACGGTCTCGTTATGTATCAATTCTCAAGAAAAGAATAATGAAAAGGACTCACATAATCAAGGACGATCCTCACCGTTCATCTTTGCCAAGAAAATACTGTATTCAAACGAAAAAAACATGCTTATTTGTTATCACAATTTATTGCACATATATGTAATTTCGAACGTTAAAAAATGACCCACGAAGTAAATAAATCAATCGAAATTCACTAATCATTATAAAAGTTTTGGAGAATATATTGTATTATTTTGATGTTAAAGGCCATATTGCAAAATTCAAATAAATGTTCGTTAATTCAAATATTTCTATTCCTGTATTGTCTTATTTCTTGTTTATTCTTTCTACCTTATAGTCCCTAAGTGGGCCTTTTATTTGGCCCACATTTTAGAAATCGCGATAATACGGGGTCAAACGTATTCCGGACAAAATACAAAAAATTTCCTAATCTTCTCTGCCCGAGCTACAGGCTGAGGCCTGTACAGCCTCGAATATCCATTCGGCTAATAATTAAAATGAACAAGTTGCCTCGTTTGTTTATTTATTGATCCACACTTACATTAACTTCAATGCAATAACATAAGATCCTTCCTATTAAAAAATCTCAATTTGTGCTCTGAGTGTTAATTGGAGTAATGGAATAATGAAACGCAACACTTGGTTGACCCGCCACGAGAGGAGTGCCTCCCTGAAGGAATTTCTATAGAAACCGACCCGTTTTGGTATTATGCACGTAAAGAAAACCTAAAAAACTCGCAGTTCTATCGGTTTAATTCAGTCTCCAACAGAACTTTTTATTTTTCCACTTAAAGACCTCTAAAGCTGCACTAGATTTATAGACATACAAAATGGATACTTTATCTGATGTATTTACTTCAATAAATATTCGACAATACCGATCGTACTGTTCGTTCGATTGGTTGGGTCGATGCACGCGTTTATCATTTTGGAAGTTATCTGTCGAATCTTACGAGCCATTTTTAAAAAATTTACGTCATACTGACGTAAAAAGCACTATCTTGCCAAACAGATCGTTAGCCAAAGATGGCGGCCGAACAGGATGAAATATTCTTCGGACAGATATCAAGTACGACGTTACGACAGAGATAAAGTCTATTCGGATGTTATAAAACGTTGCGAATTTCCTTAACGTTCTGGTAATTTATCATATTTGAGCTACAATGGAAGAACTCCTAGGAAATTTTTAAAATAATGATACTGCAACAAAATTTATGACACTGATCGAGTGTAAATGGCTAAATTCGTGTCTTCCAAGGCCTGTAAATTTTATCTAAAAACTATTACATCCTGCAACACGATTTATCTATATAAAATATAGTCGAACCTTCGATAACGGGCGTCTGTAAACAACGGCCATTGTTCAGAGGTTTGACCGTATATTAATTAAAATTAGGTTTAACAGAAATTTCCAGTCAGAAAACTTTCGAGTATTTACGACAGTTCGTCTTTTCAACGATATAAACGACCGGTAAATTTACCAACGACGATCGACGTCATTTATCGCTCTGCAGAAATTGAAGTGCAGTACGTAATACTTACTGACGTCGTTCAATTCGAAAACAGCTACGTGACGTCACAAATGCTAGATATATTTATCCACTGTAAAATTGCCATAAACGAATTCATTTTTAAAAACTTAAACTCAGTAAATTT